TTGTATTGCATTGCATTGCATATGACAGATTGATAAAAAGACATGCTATTTATGACTGGATGTAACTTTTGATACTTCGCGGTAAAAGTGGCTCTCCGATTGACTTTGCCCTATCAGTGCAGCTCCCTTGAAAAAAATAGTGAAGACCACTGTGTTAGAGGGTCAAGTTTTTTAATAAAAAAAACAAGCAGATAAAATTAGAAGTAGCATTAGAATAGAGAGTGCTAGAGTTAGAGGGTCACATGCATTTTCTCAGTCGGGAAATTATTTTTCACATGCGGTGCCAGTGATGATGCTTCTTACATCCGTTTCGGAGAACCAGAGGATAAATATTTAAATCGATCGCTCAGGCATGGCACCGAAATGAGGCACCGAAATCTGCATTCGGATTAGGTTCTAGTACATACCGGTGCCATATTGGTACATGTTTAATATTTCACTGTGAAACTTCAGTGAGACCTGCTACAGTTAACTCAGTATCTTTTTGCAACCATTTTGTACTCACAAGCAAGTTATTATTTTTTTTTTTTTTGTGACTATGATGTTAAATAACATCTGTAATGAAGAAAAATTATATCGCTTATAGTGGTACCCGGAGCAAAGCATTTCAGATTTTGCAGAAATGTAGCCACGGTAGCATAATTCCAATGAACCTGGGTTGTTTATATTAGAATTGAAAGATTTAAATCATTTTGCACACAGTAATTATTTATATGAAAGCTGGTTTATGATTGCATGATTACACAAAGCTGAAAAAAAAATCAATTATGGATTGACAAAAAACGGGTGTTTTTTTTTTCTTTTCTTGTTCTATTCTTTGAATGTTTTTCCAAAGTTATTATTAATAATATAATTATTAATATTTATTTATTTATGTAATGAAATTTATTGATTGGCACATTTTGCATTTGCCTACACATTTCAAGCATTTTAAGCGTAAACCTTTAGAACTAAATGTTTTTAAGATAATGCGAAACAAACATCTCTCTTTTCTTTGAATACGAGCTGTGGATATGTTGATTGTATTATGTTATATTTATATTTGTGCATATATTAGCTTTTTGCGTGCATGTGAGAGAGTATATATCTAACCCTTCTGCTGTGTGTATGTGTCCCAGTGGAATGGCGTATTGTGAGTTTGCGTGTGCTGTCAGAGATCACGCTGCTGCTGCTGAGCCAAGACGAGGTGGAGGAGAGAGAGAGAGATGGAGGGAGTGAACGAGAGGAAGAGTGGGAAGGTGAAGACATCTCCTCCAACACTCGCTTGCTAACGCTCATCTCTGAGGCCCTGCTGCCACAGTAAGACTCACCACTCACTTACCTATATTCTGCTCTCTCAGTTTACTCCTCCATCCTCTCTATTTATTGAAACTAAGATTGTGTCCTAACCAGGCATGAAGCAATTTGTCTGTGCACACAATAGCTGTCAATAAGAAGATATTTCATGCTTGATGTACAGTGTGTAGAGCAATTTTGGACCAGTGATATTTATTGAGTTTGGCACAAATAGAAACATTGACAAAATGTATTGTCGCTCATTGCGTATCACGGTTGCGACTGTTTAGGATAAAATCTCGGATGAACTAGAAAGAGAAGGATTGTATAGCTTGCAGATACATGTTCCTGGAACACCATGGTATATCTGGGAGTTGTAAAATTGTGATGTACCAGGAAAAGTGAAATTACTAAAGTTTTATGAAGTCAAGGAAAAGTCATTGAAATGTCTAGAGTGAATAATTTTTATCCAGTTTGAATATAATGGAGCAATTCATTGCGAATTCCAAAATATATGCAATAATAATAATAATAACAATACTATGCAGACCATTTTCAAATTTTCACTGAATATATAAAATTGCACGAAAGAGATAAACACGTGGGCAGAAGCAACATTCAAAGTCTTTTAATTAACTATTCTTAATTCAGATGGCACAGTCATCTGTTAAAATATCATTTTAGGGGAAAACAATTCTCGATTCTGAATAGTGATAATAATTTGGTTCAAATGAAATGCAATTATGATATGTAATGTTTTCAAGAGATTTTTCCAAATCCTTCTTTTTCAGTACCGACAAATATCTCCTGTCTTTTCAACCTGTTTGCCTTTAATCCACACAAGACAGATGCGATTAAGTGAGCAATCCTTTCATGTTTGATGAAATGAAAGTTTATAGGCTAAAGGTTTAATGATATGTTAAACTACACTATGTAATACTTAATATAATATTTAATGGGGTGAATGTTTACTAGTCTTCATAATGTCTGATTTCACCAGTACGTAATTATATAGTTATTTTACTGGATATGCACTTTTTAAATATTTTGACTGAATGCAACATTGACAATATTCTCTTTAAACTGTACAAAAATTCAAAAGCAATATTAAAGTAATAGACAATAATATCATAGTTGAATTGTCAAAACATGAAATAGTAATGAAAAAAATACATGTACAGTATGTAATCAGTGACACTACTAATTACATACATAATGAGTATTAGTGAGTTTTCATAAGTATTTAAATAATTGTATTACTGTTTTTTATTGGCTATACAATTTTTAGTATTTGAATAACAATATACTGTAATTGTTAAATTATCAAAACATTAATTAATTAAAAATATAATTATATAATATATGTGTGTGTAATATATATATATATATATATATGTGCAGTCAATGACAGTGTATTTCACTGCAATGCAACACAAAAAATCCCACAAATATCAACACAATTTTATTAATTCGGTCCCAAAATTGGAACTGGTTCAATTCCCAGAGAATGTGTCAATAACATATAAAAGGTACAATGGTTGGTAGCCTCTTTAATGACTGTTGTCATGAATTAACTTGTGAAGTGAAAGTGACATGTGGCCAAGTATGGTGACCCATACTCGGAATTAGTGCTCTGCATTTATCTTCCATCCAAAGTGCACACACACAGCAGTGAACACACACACACCGTGAACACACACCCGGAGCAGTGGGCAGCCATTTTTGCTGTGGCGCCCGGGGAGCAGTTGGGGGTTCGGTGCCTTGCTCAAGGGCACCTCAGTCGTGGTATTGAAGGTGGAAGAGAGCACTGTACATTCACTCCCCCCACCTACAATCCCTGCCGGTACGAGACTCGAACCCGCAACTTTGGGTTACGAGTCCGACTCTCTAACCATTAGGCCACGACTTCCCCAGCATATCCCATTGTATCCCATTGCATACATATTGTGTAGCTTTTTTAATGCAGATCTTCTCTGCAGGTATGAGACTCTGCTCCTGGAGCCAGATCCTGTACCGGTATATGCTCTCAAACTGCTGGTGTCCCTCACGGAGCATACCTCACCCATCAGCAGGTAACCAACTACACTCTCCACACACTCAGCTTTTTTTTTATTTTCTTTTTTTTGCCATTTTATGGTAGAAACCATTTTGTTTTGTTTTTTTAGTGAAACACACTTCCTTAATTTGACGGGTTGCACAGGTACACCAAATAACCTTCCTTTTTGCATAACCCTCAAGATGAGCCCCACATCTCATTCTGTGAACGGGTGGTGCGATACAGAATGATAGCCATTGTTCTGTTCTCCATATAGTACACTGGGAAGTGATTTTCTCTCTCTCTCGCTCTCTCTCTCTCTCTCTCTCTCTCTTCAGTGGGCAGTGGTACAATCTGGTTTACTTTGAATCCAGTTCTCTAGCCACAAGACAACGGCTTGTCCTTTAATTAATAATACTAACTAATAATGTATTCTTACAGAACAGTATACTAAGAATTTTTACAGCAAACGTTTTGGACAAATACACTCCTAATAATATCAGTGAAACCAGGCAGAAGATTGTCTTGAGGCATTTCTTTCTTATGTGTTTCTGGACTCAGCCTTATTAGATTATTGATCCTGAAATTTTAAAAGTAGGTCATGCTGAGGAGTAATGAACTTCAGAGATGACGCACATAGTTTCTCACTACATCCACAGAATCAGCTTTATGCTACAATACTATAAATATAATAATCCTTGACTATTTATATTTATAAAGTATATAAATCTATAATAAGATCATTTGTTAATGCGATTTGAAAGCTCTAAATCTGTCTCCCTTGTGGATCTTAGCTTTGCTTGGAACAGTAGATCACATATAATGGCTGATGCACACACATATACATACACAATCCTCCTCTAATTTTCTCAAAATTTTCACCTCTTTTGTCTTTCATTTCCTGTCCTGTACTAACCACTTCTCTCTGTGGGCTGTAACGAGTGTCTGGGTGCACAGGTGAGGGAATGTGTGTGTGAGTGTGTGCATTTCTTATCTCATCCTCATCCCCCCGCTGTTTCTCTAATGGCTCCTGCTGGCCTTCTGCACATTGTCTTTCTTGGTGCTGATAGAGCTGCAGCCACGTGGTTGAACTATTCAAATTGATGTCACTAATCAGAAAATGTTCGTCAGACGCCGTGCCCCCCCCCCCCGCCAAAGAGCTTATTGATCCTGAAATTTTAAAAGTAGGTCATGCTGAGGAGTAATGAACTTCAGAGATGACGCACATAGTTTCTCACTACATCCACAGAATCAGCTTTATGCTACAATACTATAAATATAATAATCCTTGACTATTTATATTTATAAAGTATATAAATCTATAATAAGATCATTTGTTAATGCGATTTGAAAGCTCTAAATCTGTCTCCCTTGTGGATCTTAGCTTTGCTTGGAACAGTAGATCACATATAATGGCTGATGCACACACATATACATACACAATCCTCCTCTAATTTTCTCAAAATTTTCACCTCTTTTGTCTTTCATTTCCTGTCCTGTACTAACCACTTCTCTCTGTGGGCTGTAACGAGTGTCTGGGTGCACAGGTGAGGGAATGTGTGTGTGAGTGTGTGCATTTCTTATCTCATCCTCATCCCCCCGCTGTTTCTCTAATGGCTCCTGCTGGCCTTCTGCACATTGTCTTTCTTGGTGCTGATAGAGCTGCAGCCACGTGGTTGAACTATTCAAATTGATGTCACTAATCAGAAAATGTTCGTCAGACGCCGTGCCCCCCCCCCCGGCAAAGAGCTATTTCCACTCACAATAGTGAAATTAAATTGCGTTTGCCAGCACTTGATAAAGTCCTAAAAAACGCAGACCTTCTCTTGATGGGTTCCAGGCGAAATGAGATTGCAAATTAGGGACGTTAGCAGGTTCCGTGCGAGCATTGGTGTTCTTTTATTATTGGTTGTGATAGTAGTTCAAACTTTCCAATTATCGAGAACCTTTGGCCACTCTTGGCTTAGTGCAGACGAAAGCAAATATATGTGCTGTTAAGAGAGTAGTGCTGAATGGCTTCTCTAAAGTGTTAATTTTATCAGTATTAAGAATTTATGTCTAGAGTACATTGGCTATTGCTCAAGCAGGGTATAATGAACTAGTTTCTAACCGGTATGTTTAGTTCAAACTCGTAATGGGCGCTGTCTCAGCTGAAGGAGGAAATGTGTCTCACTGATGATCTGATTGACTAAAATTAAATTGACTATTTAGTCCTTGCAAGGAGTAAGGGAGCATGTGATTGGCTGTGACAGATTGATCAGACCACTGAAACCACACAGAATTAGCTTTCGCCAGTCTTTATTTCATCGACAGTGAAGAGCTGACAGGAAACAGTAGGGAAAAGTGGGAGGAAGGGATTTAGGGAATTGCTTAAGACAGACTACTCAGGTTTCCACCACATATTGGAGCTTGTGCACTACTTGCCAGGCCACACCACCAACCTGTTCAAAAAGTTTAATGTGAATGAACTGTTGTGCAGGCATGCCACAGTCACTGAAGCCTGGATATATCATAAAATGTTCATTTGTCATTTAAATAAATGAGACCTTAAAAAGTCATAGAAATGTATCATATGTAGT